AAATCCCACACCAAATTTGTGCGCCGTCTCATGGCAGCTATAGTAGATGTTGCACGCTGCATATTTCATGCAGCCGTGCAGTGTTGCCGTTGAGAATTTTCAGAAAGTCGCAAAAAAAGGGTCATTGACGAAGAAAAGGGTCACCATATTATTTTTGCCCTTCTTTACTAGTAAAAGAAAAAATCTGTTGAATTTAAAAAGAAAATAGTGGGACAAGATTTGCAGAAAACAGGATTGCAAACAAACACATAAATCTAGTTGCTGCAAGGAGAAGAGTTGCATTTACTTTAAAAGTTTTAAGCGGCGCATTTTTTCGAACTTACAGGAGCAGTGGCGTAGCCAGGGGGGGCGGGGGGAATTGGGGGATAGATCCCCACCCTTCGTCAGTGAAACTTTTTATTTTTGAACTGATAACACAATAATATTTTACCCTCCCGATTTATAACTTTTTTTTTATTTCAGACTGATGGCAAATTATCTTTTAATGAATATATAAAATTATCGGTTGGTGGATTGTGTATTTGAATATTTGCGAAATACACTAGGCCATTTTGCTTAGTTCCCCACAGTGTTGGGAAATAATCTATAATCTATACAAAAACTGTACTTTTCGACACTTTTTTTTACATTTATATATTTTACACTTTTAACATAAATGTCAAAGCAGATATTTTAAGATACACTTCTTAACAAACACAATTTTTTAAGTTATTATGAATGGATAAAAGAGACATCTTCTTTGAATTCAGTACTAAAACTTGACATTTCAAGTGCTTATCAAAACTTTATACATGTTAACTAAATTGGCCATTTATCTTAAAATTATATAATTTTAATTATTTGTTTATACAAATGCAGTTTACAATTTAACAAAACCCGTATAAATCCAATGTTTAATCTTTGCGCAACATTAACAAAATCAACAAACTTTCATAAAGCTTTTTAATTAGATTTGATATAAATACATATTTTGAGTACGCAGTTTTGTAGTCCGATCAATTCAAATAAAGAGCAAGTTTAAAACAGAGTTGGGCAAAATTTATTCGAATGACGAATAAGAAATGAATAAATTGTTTTTCTTGTTATTCGTAAATAATAAATAATTTTGTTTATTCAAAAAAAAAATTATTCGAATGACGGATAAATTATTTTATTCGTTATTCGAATAATTATTATCTTCATTAATTATTCGAATAACGAATAAAATAATAATAAAACAAGTAATTTATGTATATAGATATGTACATATATTTATGTATAAAATGATAACCGTTTTTGTTACGATTTAACTCAAACCCCTGGATAGATTTAAATCAAATTTTCGGAGGTTATTCCATGCGCGTAAAGTCCTATTAAAGACTACTAGAAAACTCCTTGGTGGCGAAGGAGCCGAGTTATTTATAAAAGCCGTATTTATGAACTGATTTCGTTCAAATTCAAAATGTGTTCTTCCTGCATAATGAAAAATACTTATGCGAAAAATAGACCCGCTAGGTGGCGCTGCAGTTGAGTTATTTAGAAAATCTCTATTTATTGTACAATCAGGTTGCAATTCATAATGGTGCTGCAGTCGAAATCATTAGAAACCCCATATGTCTGGACTACTTTGTTTTTTATGTTTATATTATACGAATTTACGATGTCTCACGTCGTCATACACCCTAAATGCGACCTTGCATCTACCTCCGCTTGATGAAATTGCTCGGGCGGCCATTGCTGCAGCAGTAAGACTCAAGTGGCGAATCAGCAAAGAAAGTTTCGACCACATCCTTCCAAGAAAGACCACTGTTGGTATGTCAATGGCCAAATTTTACATCGAGGATTTTTGGCTCTCCTATAATAGAAAACGCACATCTGTGCTCTTCAGCTTCCTTGTAAGGACTTTTGTTGGCCTACATGACATAAGACTAGAGGTTGACGCATCGGACCAATGTTGTAGTTACAAGATCATAGAAGAAGATTACGCACGCTTAGAAAATATCTCACAAGTGGAAATAAGACCATCGGTAAAGCTCATGACATTGAAAGGAATTTTTTCTTGCATATAGCATCAGAGCGCTATTTTTTTGGCAGAAATATGTGTGAGAAGGGTTCTGCTCTTTAGTTGTTCAACCTAAATTAAGAATTTTTACTTTACCCATATTTGGTTTTCAACGCTATTCTTGCATTGGCCAACGCAAAAAATCTTATCAGGGGCCGCGAAACCAGAGGGAATGGGCTAGTATTCTTGATAAAATAGTAAACAGAATTCAGCTGACTCACAATCCTTGACAATAGAAATAAAAGTAAAAGGTGGCTCAATGTGTTAAAAATTAGTTTTTATTCATTATTTAAAATAAATAAAATGAATAAATTGCTTGCGAATAATTTATTCGTGAATAAGTTATCTGCGAATAATTATATTACGGATAAAATTTTATTCGAAAAATTATCTAAATAACAATTTATTCGAATAATGCCCAACTCTGGTTTAAAATACATAGCTGCGACTTATCGTTGATTTTTAATATTTTTTTTTGAT